TTCAGGCAGATTGTGTATACTATGGATGGACTAGATTCATGATACATTTTATTTCCACATTGAACATGCTTTTGGTCATTTCCCATCCACTTCCGTTGTAGTGAAAAGAGTGACCAGGGTAAACTACTAAAGTTCACAAATTCATCTTTCGTTCCGCTGAAGAAAAGAAAAATAAATTCATGCAGGCTTGGAAAAATGTGAGGAGTAAATAATGCCCAGAACTTCATTGTGATCTCTTTCTTTTAAAGCTGTGGCTTTGAACATAACTAACTAACAAGTGGTCCACCATATCATCTGTTAGTCCAGCTGATCATCATCATAAACCAGCTTGGACTTTCATACTTGCCCTTGAAATTTCAGAAAGTTTGAATATTGTTTGTTTGTATAGATACACCAACTGGCAGTTGGGGTACAGTGCATTAATTATCCTTTCACAGATCTGGATCCTATGGTTGCACCAGCCATTCATAAGTTCTTACATAATTCGGAACAAAGTTAACGCTAGAGGCTTTGGGCCAGATACCGCACATTAGTGTGAGAAGGCAATTCCTAAAAAGTGCAGATGGGAGTAGAAAGTTCTGTGCCTGATCTACTAATGACACGCAAATTAAAGAACACAGTGCCAGGATCATTTCTATAGTTAGTGACCAACACGATCTACCAAGAGAAGTGGAAATCTGGTTTAAGACTCAGTTAAATAATGACTCAAATACCAGTAAATTGACTAGCGTAAATCACCTTGGATGATTCATTGAAACACTCTCTTCATAAATTTTGTGTCTGGAAAGAAAACTCCTACAATTGCCTATGCAGTAAGGCCAGCTGCAAAAATAACTGTCCATGCCATTTCAGCACTAATTTTTCATTGCGTGTCTTTAAATCCTGACAGTAGGTTTTTAATGCCAAAAGAGGGTTTGGCGCTGGCTCAAGCTGTTATTAAATCTGGCCCCTAGTAACTACTAAGTCGATTGTAACTAACTCTGCACTTTGTACCATTTGCTCTTAAGGCAGAACATAACTAGTAGCTCATAAGCACTCTATAATGTAATGCCTAGAACCTGACATTTACCATGGGTTATCCAGTAGCTACCATGGGTAATACGTGAGCTGAATTGTGTTAAAATGCTGTGAATGTGAATATTGCGTAACTTAGGCCTTGTGGAGTTGTGGACCAACTTGTGGACACGGGTATTTTTATAACCAGAGTTTTTCCTCCCGCGTTTTCCTGGCCGAGAACCGGTTCTTTGGCTGTCGAAACACAAAGAACTGAATTCGCGCGCAGGCACCGGCTCCGAACCGGCTCTCAAAATGCTTTGGTGGAAAAGGGGCTATAAAAACACAAACACGCTATCAATCGCTGTCAAGAGTATGCCACACCAGCAGGCACCAGCATATAACCCTAACCGTAAAGCCACGTTGCCCAATCAGAAGCCTAACAATAAGTTATCGCCGCTTCCGGTAGGCAGATAACGGCGCACAATCTGACGTCAAACACAGCGGATAACGGCGCACACTCTGACGTCGCAAGGCAAAACCCTCGGTTTTACTGTCAACACGACAACACTGTAACCTGCGTTCTGAAAATCCTCACCCTGGCAAGGGTTTTCAAAAATGTGACCTGTTGCTACGTTTCCATGTGGACGAACTGCGTAAAAAAAGTTATAAAAATACCCGTGTCCGTTTGGACAAGGCCTTAGTGCCCATTTACGTCAAAACTAGGCTTAAAGGATTAGTTCACTTTTCAAAAAAGTTTTGCTGATAATTTACTCACCCCCATGTCATCCAAGATGTCCATGTCTTTCTTTCTTCAGTCGAAAAGAAATCAAGGTTTTTAATGAAAACGTTCCAGGATTTTTCTCCATATAAAGGACTTCCGTGGGAACCAAACGGTTCAAGTTACAAAAGAAACTTTCAGTACAAACTGCAAACTTGTTCAAAGGGTTTTAAACGATTCCAGATGATAAATAAGGGTCTTATCAAGCGAAACGATCGCTCATTTTAAAAAAAAAAATAAATAACAAAGTTTAAGTTTTATAAGATCAAACGCTCGCCTTGCTCTGTTCTGTGGTGCACGTTCGTGACTCTCCTGTTCGAACTCGTTCAACAAAATGAACAAATCTTTTTCCGAATCAATTCGTTCGTTTCTTTCGCCGAATGAACCAAAAGATTTGTTCATTTTGATGAACGAGTTCGAACAGGAGTGCGTTACGGAACAGAGCAAGGCGAGCGTTTGAGCTTATAAAACAAACTTTATTTATTTATAAAACGAGTGATCGTTTCATTTGATAAGACCCTTATTCATCGTCTGGAATCGTTTAAAGCACTTTGAACAAGGTTGCAGTTTGTACTTAAAGTTTCTTTTGGAACTTGAACCGTCTGGTTCCCACTGAAGTCCATTATATGGAGAAAAATCCTGGAACGTTTTCATCAAAAACCTTAATTTCTTTTCGACTGAAAAAAAGAAAGACATGGACATCTTGGATGACATGGGGGTGAGTAAATTATCAGCAAAGGTTTACTCGACGCAAGTAAATCCACTGTGCGTATAAGTGTTGTGGAGTATTTCAGAATGCTGTCAGGTTAGTGAGGCTCTGTGTGTGGGAGGAGAGTCCATGTGTGGATGCATGATGCGTGGGCGGAAATGTCGAGAGCTCTATTTCAGGAAGACATGGAGCGGCTTGTGAAACACGCTGACAGAAGAGTATGGATCAGACCTGTTCACCTCAACACTATACGGACACCAGGTGCACGCTTAAACAACCACATCTCCGGACATTCTACACCCAAACACACTGCTGCTGTTAACTCGGCAAAATGTGTGTGTGCGTGTGATGCTGTGTATGGCAAAGGTCTCTTGAGTTCACATGATCTCAATACAGAATCCCCATTCAGTTTAGCCACAACCCTCTCTCTGTCTCTGCTGTCTTTATCTCTATATTTGTCTCGCTCGTTGTGGTAATTGTGCTCTCCAGAGGCACAGTGGAAAATGTGATGTATTTTCCCTCGATTCAAAGCTTGTGGGTCCCCTCTGGCTGCCTTTCACTTCAGAAACGCCCAACTGCTGGTTTGAGACAGAGGGTGTTCCGTCAGACTTCACTGGCCACGTGTTTTTCTGCCCAACCCTCATTTGCATACTTTGTTTCTGATATTTTTGTGGTTGTTGTTGCATCAAATGCAAGCAGCATTTTCAAAGTTCATATACCTTAAAGGGATAGTTCACCCAAAAATGAAAATTAAGTCATTAATTGCTCACCCCCATGCTGTACCAACCCCATAAGAGCTTTGTTAATCTTTGGAACACAAATGAAGATATTTTTGATTAAATTTGAGAGCTGGATCACTGCTACAGTACATAGGCTCCCTAAGGGATTGAAACTTGACGGCCCAGAAAAATGTCACTTGATAAACTTATAGTTGAGCCACTGTAGTCACATGGAATATTTAAACATTTTCTTCAATGACTTTCTGGGCCGTCAAGTTTCAATCACTTAGAGAGCCTATGTAGCAGTGGTCCAGCTCTCAAATTTAATCAAAAATATCTTCCATTTGTGTTCGGAAGACGAACGAAGGTCTTACGGGTTGGTACAGCATGGGGGTGAGTAATTAATGACTTAATTTCCTTTTATCAAGTATTAGTTCACCCAAAAATGAAAATACTGTCCTTAATTACTTTTTCCAAACCCGTTTATCTTTGGAACATAGATGAAGATATTTTTAATGAAATCAGAGATCTTTTTGTCCCTCCATTGACAGCCTACGCAACTACCACTTACTCTATTTCGCTCTTTAAATTTCGCTGAGCTGGTAAATGTGACTGCACCTTTAATGGGATAGAGCATAAAGGCATCATTTATCATCCTTCATGTTGCACTTTCTTTAGTTGAACATAAATGGAAAAATATTTTTTGGCCATTCAAAAATATAGGAAAAATATTTTTTGGCCATAAAAACAAGTTTTGCTACTTGTTTTTTATCTCTTTTTACTTTATTTATTTTATTTTATTTGAACTATTTTATTGTACTGGAAAGCACTTTGGATCAGCTACGGTTGTGTTAAACTTGTGCTCTATAAATAAAGTTTGACTTGACTTGACATTCTTTTCAATACATTAAAAGTAACTAGGGAACGGGAATTGTTCAGGACCAGTTTGGTGGACTGGATCAGTTGATTCATTGAATAGATCTGACTCAGATTGTCAAAATTAACTGTGAATAATGACTGGCTCAGTAAGTTTCTCACACTATGCTATCATATGAAGACTTGGATATATAGTGCAAAATGTCAGATATGGGCCACTTGTATGATACTTTTTTAGAGATTAATTTGTTTTGTGTTTTGGAGAATGACAACCCCTGAAAGAGTGATCTGTATATTCTATCAAAATGAATCTTTTTTTTTTTTGTTCTATAGAAAAAAAGTCAGGTTACAGGTTTGGAATGACAAAAGTGAACAACAATCAAATTTCCATTTGGTGTGAACTATTCCCTCAGCTAGTCCCTATTGCCTGACTTCCCTGACTACTGTTGTTGTTTCATTTATCCAACAGTTTGGACCTCAGTCACTTTTGTTAAGTAAAAATAAGAACTCGAAATGGTTTAACAGCTTCACATTTTCCATGATTCAGTGGTTCCTGAATTAGTTCAGTGGTCCTCCAAACACGCCTCAATGTTTGTGTGTATCGTTTGTGTACATGTTCAGTGCCAACCCCCATCACATTACCGAGACAAAACATTTCCATTTATCCCCTAAAGGATTGTTTTAGATCAGACACACACAGCAACTACTCAAAATGAAAAAAAAAAATCCCATCTGTGATCTCAACACTGTCATATCTCACACTCTGCAGTCAGACAAGCCTGGACGAATGGGGAATGTCTATGACAATTTAAACAGAGTAGATTGTGCAAGCAGTTTAGTAAGAATGTTTGTGTAGATGTACTGTTTAATAAGATTCAACAACAAATGACCTCCTTTTCTCTCTCTCTCTCTCTTGTTGTAGGGCTGGAAGGGCTCCCCCTCATGGCAGGGTCAAAGACTACTGTGTTCATCCTCTTCTACAGAAGGTGAGTGTTCATGTTCATGTGGTTTATTTGAAAACATGCAAATATATGTGGGTTTTTGCATCACTGAGATGGTTTACAAACTAGTGCTCTGCTGTAACCGCCTATTTATGGCTCTCAGAAGCGTGTTCTCCATTTGGTTTTCTCTTAAGACATTTCAGAAAATTGTTTAATAAAGAGTTCAAAGCCTTGAACCAAACCAACCAGCTAGCTCTGAGAACTTAGCATATACTCAACAAATAAAAATCGACATAAATATTTGAACATCTGGGAGAAAAGACGGAGTAACTTAATGTAACACACTTGGTTGTATCAATTGCAAGTGTAATCTAATTAAATTGAGTCTAATTTTTATATCTACTACTGTATTTTATGCTCTACATATCCCAAAATTCCTTAACCAGTTAGCTAGCTAGCTAATGTTTGGCCAGGTCAGACTACGCAATATCAGTCAATTTTCTTTGCATCACGGCGATCTGTCATCTTGTATGGTGTGTCGGTGGACAACAACAAAGTCACGACAGAAAGTCTAGCATGTTTAAAAAAAAATTAAGAAAAAAATCTTCTACGATGGGTTCCACCACATCTGTGAAGTTGAACAATAAGAGGACAGAAGCTCTTCCGTACACACCTTTCAAATATTGTGAAACGAAAGAGAGACGTTGATATAGGCTGCTATTAAGTGAAATTATGCATTTGTGCCTTTATGATGTTTCCTCGAGTCGAAAAGAGATAAATGCAGATTATGGATTCGATCAATAGCCTCTTTTCCATCGCCGGGCTGAACGGTTTTGAGAACTGTAAGAAATGGAGCTTGGTTTGGCACGGCACTATTACCAACCTTTTTCGGCCTGGACTTCTTAGCACGGTTGGCCATACCAACGTGTAGTGACATCGCCACTCAGGATTGGTCACTTGTCTGTTGCTTGAATAACAATTAAAAGAACATCCCCATCAGTTCTCTTAACTCAAATAAGCATGACAAAATTTGTGACTACCATGTCCAGTTTCAAATAAATAAATAAAATATCGGCCGATATATCGGAATATCGGATTTTAAAACCCAAAAATATTTGTATCGGTATCGGCCTTCAAAAACCTTTATCAGTCGGGCTCTACTGACTAGCTTAACTGACACAAATATTGTGTAGTCTGAACCTGGCATTAATTAACACTACTATAGAGTCTGAAGCAATTCCCATTTCTACTTAGGATTGTTCTTCCAGATGTGACTTTTCTTCACTTTTTAGGGCGAATTGGGACTCAGCATGTTTTCCAAACAGGTTTTTATCATTATGTAATGTAGGATCTTTGACTCATTAGCTGCTTTTACATGCATTTAGCCTCTTTTCCACCGTCAGGCCAAACCGTTTTTGTTGCTTAACTCGTGCCGATCCGACCTAGTCGGTATGGATATGGTTTTATTTTCCACTATGGGGAAAATCCTTGGAATGTAATTCAAATGCGTCAGTCAATGCTTGTGGAACGCAAGAGTTGTTTCTTTTAATTTTATTATTAACTTACTTGCGTTATCTTCGCTCAAGTAGCACGCTTGGCCATGTATAGAAAAACTAGGCGCCAGGCAACAGACAAGTGACCAATCCTGCTAAGAAGTCCAGGCCGAGATTGGTTGGTAATAGTGCCGTGCCAAACGAAGCTCGAAATATATAACCGGAATCAGTTCTTAAAGTTCTCAGAACCGTTCAGCCGGACGATGAAAAAGAGGCTATTGATCGAATCCAAAATCAGATTGATGGCTCAATCAGACTGAGAGCCTTCACATAAACACCTCAATCAATCCAATTGAGGTCAATGCGAATGAAATTTCGATCGGATTGAAATGGGTGTTGTAGACCTGAAATTATCTGATCAACAGAAATTTTTTTTTTACTTTACTCAATCAGATTCAAAAATACCTTACACACTTATGAACATGCATGTTTGTTCACGTGTCTTACAAACTGGCCAGTGTAGGAGACTGAATATTTACTGTTTGCTAAAAAAAGCTCTTCTGACATAAATGTCAGCTTTCTCTTTAGAAAAGGCTGAAAGTGCATTTCTGCTTACGGTAGCTCCGGTGACATTATCACGGTTGCTTTCTCTGATTCTGTGCGCCATGACTGGAATACATGTAGTGCGCAAGTAAATAATACATGAATACAAGTTAATAAAACATTAAAATTACTTCATGTAAACAGGATTTTTATTTCTGGATGACATATACATCTCAACATTTTACATTTTCACAAATTTCTAATTTTGGAAATGTGATTTCACTTGGCATTCTGTTGCATTTTCCAAACTGACTTTCGGAGTTAGAATGGAATGCAAGTTTTGTTAACCCCATGCTGTTAAATGCCATAACTTAGCCGTTATCACCATTTATGAGCATTCAAAAATACGTTATGTCTTATGATTAGTGTCATTAGGATGAATGAGAAAGCTGATAAATGGCACTCTGTCTACCTCCTCGAACTCAGCACAGCTCCAAGGCAGTGTTCGTAGTGCTTTGTGGGTAATGTAGTTTCCTTGTCCCCAACTATAGTGCTTTAGTAGACCTGACTGGATGGGTGAGGGGGTCAGTCTGCCTGGAGGAGAGCAATGCATCTCTGTGTCACTTAGATAGATTATACCCCGCAGGTTAGGAGAGGTGAAGACATAGAGACGAGTACGAATGCGGGCTGTTAAATCTGTGCACTGAGGAGAGAGTGATTTACCTCACAGCGGATTTTAATAACAGTTGGATCATGACACGCTGCATCAGAGCAGCTGATTCAAAGCTTTAATGCTGTCTGGGATCTTCTGTACTTTAGCTGGCTCACTAAAGACTCAGTTCACATACATCCTGACCAGTGTTGAGGAAGATAACTGTAACTCACCAGGCTACAATATACTCAATGTACTAATAGAATTACCTAATTTAAGCTATATATTTGGCCAATGTCTTTTCAATCAAATGTCTAAAATCAGAGGAGCACAATCTCATTTAGGGGAATTGCATCTTATAGTAGAACACACACTGTCTACAGCTAATAAAACAGAATGTGATCATTGAAATAAACCTTTTGAATGAACAAGTTTGCTAAAATGAATCTTCCAATAGTAAAGTTAGTTTAAAGCTTTTCCCTGAAACTCATCCTAAATAAAATAATTTCCATTTTAATTTGGGTTATACAGTGGTATGAATAAGTTTTGGCACCCATGCTAAAGTTGCCTAAAAAGAGGACTAAAAAATCATCTTTTGGATATTGTGCCTTGGATATCTTAATGCCTTAATTAGAAAAATGAGGAAAACTCCAACCTTTAAGGACACCAATTTTCTTTGTGAATGAATAATGTATCATAAATAAATAAATGTTTTTCCTTAAAATACAGGGTGCATAAGTCAGGGCACCCCTATGTTAAATTCCCATAGAGTCAGGCAGATTTTTATTTTTAAAAGCCAGTTATTTCATGGATCCAGGATAATATGCATCCTGATAAAGTTCCCTTGGCCTTTGGAATTAAAATATCCCCACATCATCACACACCTTCCACCACACCTAGAGATTGGCATGGGGTACTTTCCATAAGATCATCTTTCAATGCAAATCAAACCAGCTATTCGGCTAACTGAAGTAAAACCGTGCCAATCTCAAGGTGTGGTGGAAGGTGTGTGATGATGTGGGGATATTTTAATTCCAAAGGCCAAGGGAACTTTATCAGGATGCATATTATCCTTATTCATACCACTGTAGATACCATCTTTAATGTTTTGATAAAATTTAAATAATCGAAAGGTTTTCTAATTAGTTTAATTTTTATTATGGCTGATATGCATTTTTTTTTTCTGTGTGATCTTTTTACATTTTTCGAAATTATTTTCTTTTATTTTATTTAATACAAATTAACATGAAACTTTAATCATTTAAAATTTGGAGCCCATCAACTGTTTAGTTACCCCTATTCTTCAAAAATATAATTTGTGTGCAGCCGAAGAAATTAATTCATTTAGGGTTTGGAACAACTTGAATGCGAGTAAATATGGAAGCTTGTTTCCGCCACTGAATAAAAAATAAATAAATAAATAAATAATTGCAACTTTTTATCTCAAAATTGTGTGGTATAAAGTCAGAATTGTGTGGTGAAGTCAGGCTTGCGTGATATAAAGTCAGACTTGCATGTTATAAAGTCAGAATTGTGAGATATATAAAGTCAGAATTGCGTGATATAAAGTCACAATTCTGAGAAAAAAAAGACAGCTTTTTATCTCACAATTCTGACTTTTTTTCTCACAATTGCGAGTTTACATCTCGCAATTCTGACTTTATAACATATAATTGCGAGTTTATATGTCAACATTCTGACATCTTTTCTCAGAATTGTGAGATATAAACTCAATTGCAAGCTATCAGGCCAATTCTAAGGGGGAAAAAAGACTAACTTTTTTCCACTCAGAATAGTTTATATCTCACAATTCTGACTTAATATCATGCATTTCTGACTTTATAACATGCAATTGCGAGTTTATATGTCAACATTCTGACATCTTTTCTCAGAATTGTGAGATATAAACTCAATTGCAAGCTATCAGGCCAATTCTAAGGGGGAAAAAAGACTAACTTTTTTCCACTCAGAATAGTTTATATCTCACAATTCTGACTTAATATCATGCATTTCTGACTTTATAACATGCAATTGCGAGTTTATATGTCAACATTCTGACATCTTTTCTCAGAATTGTGAGATATAAACTCAATTGCAAGCAATCAGGCCAATTCTAAGGGGGAAAAAAGATTAACTTTTTTCCACTCAGAATAGTTTATATCTCACAATTCTGACTTTATATCATGCATTTCTGACTTTATAACATGCAATTGCGACTTTATATCACGCAATTCTGACTTCATATGTCGCAATTCTGAGAAATAAAGTCAGAATTGCGAGATGTAAACTCACAATTGTGAGAAAACAAGTCAGAATTGTGAGATAAAAAGTCGCAATTACCTTTTTTTATTTTTCATTCTGTGGAGGAAACAAGCTTCCATAAGTTAAGTGATGATTCACACAGATACACGCAAAACATTCAGACTTCATATTTAAATAGCCTTTTTGTAGTTTAGTATTCACATAATCAGAAACAAGTGTACATCTCATCTTATTCATTCCCTTTTTTCCATCCCCATTTTCTGCATAGTGGAAATCATAGGGTCCTAATGAAACTACAGCCCTGACAAATGCTCTTGGAGTCATGGTGCCAAAGCCGCTGACCCATCTTTCGTCCCGCTCATTTCGATGTGAAAAGGCAGTTCTGAGAAAGAAATAAAATACCTCTGCACTAGCCCCTTTAACCGACTGGTCTCACTCTCAAACCAGGAATTCATTCTGGCGAAGCTGATGCAGAGCAAAGCCAGACTGTATAATACTAGTTTTCTCCCATTATAATCACTGAAGCTGTCTGCACTGGAAATTTGTTCAGCTGACGCACATCCACTTTGTAATATGAATCTCATCGCACAGAGGCTGAGTCTGTCTAAAATGAAATCATGTCATTTAGATTTAGGAAGTGTAGGATTCATCACCATGGATGAGTGAGTGACACTCGAAAAGACTCCAGTCTTCATCATCCAGAGACATCAGATCTCACCGCAGAGCATCACGGACTCCTTAAACTTAACGACTGCAGTAATGAGGCAGTATAATGGGACGCTTGGTGAATACGGCTTACTAAGGGCTCTGGATCAGAACTGTACAGTCTACAGGACAGCTCGCACAGACTGTGATATAAACTGTGATTTACAATGACACCACAGTGGCCACCTTTGCTGTTTGCTCTGGAGATCAACATAACTTGACCGGCAGGACCAATGTAATGCTGCAGTCGTGTGGTGAAAACTCCCATCATTCAACAAGGCTCTTTTGTTCCCCCTTACTGTCACTGCAATACTGCCCCCTGCTGGCCATCGACTCCTCTAAGGTCCCTCATAGACTGCTATTCACACTCTCAGCACTCCAAATCTTTCTTTGGCCATTTAAAAGTCTAAGAAACTTGCTTGGCTGTTGTTCTTTCGGTGGCACAGTTCAAAATCGTTCAAAGGCTCTAGTCCGACACTTGATAGCTAAAGGATGCATAAAATGCTTGTGTGATTTGGTGACTACACATCTAACGACAATTGCTATTGTGTCCGCAGACGTTACGGTGGTGTATCAGAACGGATTGCCGGTGATATCCGTACGTCTGCCGTCCCGACGAGAACTCTGCCAGTTCACCCTCAAACCCTTGAGCGACAATGTGGGCGTTTTCCTTCAGCAGCTGCAGGCCGAGGACAGGGGCATCGATAGAGTCGCCATCTACTCTGAAGGTACAGTACATCTCTGGACACTACTGTGGTTTTCTTTGCATTATAAGCTGATTTGTCTGTGGATGGTGTGTATACAAGTACAGCAAAACTCTAACTGGCTAAAATCAGCTTGTAATATGTAAATGGGCAGATTGACTAAACAGGGCGAATTAGCATTAGAGGGTAACTCCAAAATGGCACAGATGGGAGTGAAAAGTTCTGCTCATTGATGTGTAGATGCGTACATTAAAGATCATTTCCACAATGACCAACGCAATCTACCAGGTTGCGTCTGGTTTAAGACTTGCTTTTTTTGGGGCGGTAAATAATGGCGCAAACACCAGTACATTGACTAGCGCAAACCCAGAGAGGTATAGTAACGAATTAGAACTACTTAAGTACTGTACTTAAGTACTAAAATGCTGTATCTGTACTCTACTAGAGTATTACTTTGGTAGATATTTTCGATGAATTTAATACTTTTACTTCAATATTTTTTTAATGTTCTGATAGTTACTCGTTACAATTATAACATTTTTACGAATCATTCGTTGCAAGTTGGCTTTCATGCTGCCTAAATCACACGCCAGGTTTATAGGGTAATGGTATTGATCGACACACACATTGACAACTAATGCAGGGGTTGCCCTCCAATGACATGTTTTTGGCGGCCGCCAAAGCAAATTTGTATCCCGCCAAAGCGCCTTATTTGATTGCTAGTTCAAACTTTCGACTGCTTTCTTTAATAATTACATGACACAATACTTGTATTTTTACTTTTAGTACTTAAAGGGATAGTTCACTTTGAAATTATTTTTTGATATGTTTTAGCTTACCTCAAGGGCATCCAAGATGTAGGTGTCTTTGTTTCCACAGTATTTTCAATTTTGACATTTTTCAGTCAAACCGTTGGAGGCATACACTGGAGGCAAAGGGGGTCCACCAAAAAGCATGCACAGAGAAGTCAAAATTAAACACGATTTAATGACTCGTAAATGTAAGTACACATTGATGGCCTAAGACACGAAACGAGCGGTATGTGTGAGAAAACGAACAGTATTTATATCGTTTTTACCTCTTGTAATCATAGCCATGCCAAAATGATCTGACTGCATGGGCGCTTCGGTCTGCGCATGCGCTGGAAGTGATCGTTGCGCGCCGATGTCACTCTTTGTTTATACAGAGATTTCGGAAGTTTTACCTTTTACTAAACATATTTAGATGTACGGGAAACCGCAATGGAAGACGATTTCGGTATATCTAAATATGTTTAGTAAAAGGTAAAACGTCCGAAATCTCCTTGTAAATATTGAGTGACGTCACACGCAAGCGATCACTTCCGGCGTAACATTGAACTGATTCAGTTCGGTTCAGTTGCACAACTGATTCAGATCACTTGGACGTCACTGTGATTACACGAGGTAAAAACAATATAAATACTGTTCGTTTTCTCACACAAACCGCTCGTTTCGTGTCTTAGGCCATCAATGTGTACTTACATTTACGAGTCATTAAATCATGTTTAATTTTGACTTCTGTGTGCATGCTTTTTGGTGGACCCCCTTAGCCTCCAGTGTATGACTGATAGACAACAACGGTTTGACTGAAAAATGTCAAAATTGAAAATACTGTGGGAACAAAGACACCTTCATCTTGGATGCCCTTGAGGTAAGCTAAAACATATCAAAAATTAATTTCAAAGTGAACTATCCCTTTAAGTAGTGATTTTTAAAATAAACTACTTGCAATACTTAAGTACAAAAAATCTTGAATACTTTAGTACTTCTACGTAAGTGTGGTGCTTAAAGAGCACTTCAACTTCTACTCAAGTCACTTTTTTGATAGAGCACTTGTACTTTTACTCAAAGTCTGGGTTTCTAGTACTTTATACATCTCTGCGCAAACCTTAGTAAATCACCTTGCGTGATTCTTTTAAACACTCCTCTCCCATAAATGTGCGTCTTAAAGGGAAACTACAAATTCAATAATATCAGCGACAAAAATAACCCTTTTCAGCGCTCATTTTTCCACTGCGTGTCTTTAGTAAATCCTGACAGTAGTTTTTTTAATGTTAAAAGAGGGTTTGCACTGGCTAGATATTCACTGTCACGCCCTGCTCACTAAAAGCACACCTCTAATTCAAGTGTACAGATAATACAATGATAACAGAGTTTTCACTTTTAGGTGACCTATCCCTTTAAGAATAGTTAATGGAGTATTGTGCATGTAAATACGGTCATTGTTCGCAATTCTATGGGCAAAATTTAATTAACATTTAAGTTATTATCAGTTTGCGTTTTGTAGTTTAATCCACAAATCGCAGTTGAATCTATGGCTTTATCTGAAGTGTTTAACTGATAGTACATATTTAATCTAATTGAGGAACATGAATCATTTGTTCTCTGTGCAAACTGCATGTCTGCTCTGTTTCAAGCTCAATTATTCCCGTGTGAGAGGTGCTTGAGCCTGTAGATGAGTGAGAGAGGAAATCCACTGTCGTTCACCTCAGACTGGAAAAAACTTCTCTTCCTGATGAGCATACTAACACACAGCAGGAAACCTTTGTGATGAGCATTTAGATCGGCTCTCGTGTTTCACAACCATTTCAGAGAGAGGATTGCGGTTGAAGAGACTGTACACTTTCAAGCGCCTCTAATTTCCCTCTCTTTCTCTCTCCGTAGATGGAGCAAGGATAGCGTCCTCTACAGGGATTGACATTTTACTAATGGACAGCTTTAAGCTAGTCATAAATGACACAACACACCTGGTGCTGCCACCCAGGAGAGGTGAGTTTTCCCTGCTGCATTGTGGGTCATTATGTGCAAAACTTTGCAGATGCCCAGAAGAGTTTTTGATATTCTGTTGGCATCCATTGCAGATCTGCTACCGCACGAGGACACGGAACGATTGAACGACGTCAAGCTCTTGGTGCAGCAGCTCTACAGCACTCTGCGCATAGAGGAGCATCAGCTGAGCAAAGAGAGAGAGCTGATTGGACGACTGGAGGACCTCAACTCGGAGCTCCGGCCCTTAGAGAAGGTGTGCTGTGTTATATGTCATGTTGACATCATAAACAGGACTAATTTAATGCCCTCATTCTGAAAGTCTATTTTTTTTTGGCTATTTTGCACAAAAAGAATGTAGGCACACACAGGGGTCCTGTGGAAGTCGTTTCCACCTCAGAGTATCCAAATTAAAAAGGTAACGGTAAGAAAGTAGCAATTTTAGGAAATTAAGTTGCATTACGTAAAAGGCCACATTGCAAGATATAAAGTTGCAATTACAAGAAACAAAAGCCCTATTCAGACGGTAAATGTTTCTCATAGGGATGTAAGGTATTTGCAACATTTACTGGGGTTAGTCAGTCATTTTATTGTCTGAATACAAAATTTCGCTCTTTTCTCCCACCACCCGCATAAGAATCCCTGGCCGAATTACCTATTGTTTTTTTGACACACACCAAGGTCATGTGATAATATTAACTGCCATCCAAATGCACATCTCTGAGTTTGCAAGAAGGGATCGTTTCAATATTTTTAACCAGCACCTTACGCACAGTAACTGTTGCGCTTCCTGGATGTTTGCATTTTAAAGATGTACACTTTTGTCAGGGCAACTGAAATGCTGGAAAGTACAACCCCATTTCCAGAAGAGTTTGGACATTTTCTAAAATCCAATAAAATCAAGAATTTGTGATTTGTCAATTCTCTTGTACCTTTATTTAACTGATGAAAGTACAAAGAAAAGATTTCCAATGTTCTCACTAAGCAACCTAATTCCATCGTCCCATTTATATTAAGTGGCTTTAAGTACTATATACTTACATTGAAATTAATAATTTGATACAATGGACTTATTGTGTACATACATGTTTTTACATTGTACTTATATTTTTAAAAATACCAGCATGTAATTACAGCTATAATTCATTTACGTAATTACATTTGTAATTACACAGTTGACCCTTCCCTCAAACCTTAACCTACACTTAAACCGACCCATACCACAAGATTCAGGGAATCCAGAGAAACCGTCATACTGGTGTGTTATATAGTACATATGAAGAGTTCAGATGCAAAAACCTCTAAATGCCATTTGAAATTTTCTTCTTTAATGATGATTTTTATCAAACTTGTATATTTAAGTTCAGTTATTTCATTTAAATAACAATTAATAGGTAATTATCATTGCCATTTAAGTGAAATCACACATCATTAAAGAAGAAAATTTCAAATGGCATTTAGAGGCTTTTGCATCTGAACTCTTCATATATACTGTGTATACTGTATATAGCCACATTGACTCAGGAGTGCTTCAGAATCAAGAACTGCAACTTGAATCTCTGTTACAGAAGGAGAAATCTATACATCTATACTGTACATCTGGGCCCGAGCTCATCTCAGATCTTACTATTTGAAATGTATTATGTAGTTATATACAAAATATAAATGAAGCAGCATTAGGTTTAACTTGTGTAAATAAGAGGTTGCATTAACTTTATTATTAATAAGAGGTTGCATTAACTTTAACTTTAGTATTGCACATTCATCATTTTGAGCGTATTTCATCATTGTGCGACTATTTTCCCATTTTTAAACGAGATTTAAAGGCACATTATGTAAGATCCCTGCATTATAATATCCAAAAACCACTAGGACTGTGTTATGTTTTGTTGACTTGTATAATTAATTATATTACCCCAAATGTTTCCAACACTGTTTAAATCCATAGAATTTCAACCAGATTAATGTTCCTCCTCATTGCGTCGCCTGTCAATGACGTCATGTCCGCGTTATGCACCGTTTCCAATTTTACTGCCGTAGAAACCAAGAAAACACAGTTAGTCTCTTGAAAAAAAAAAAATGCTGAAGTAATAGTTGTAGCGTCTAGTACACCTCTGTGTTGTTGTTGCGCACATGGACACAGTTATTCGTTATCGTTTGCACCAGGTTCTGTCGTCAAAGATGACTCCAAGAAATGTAAATGTACGGATGAATTAAATGCCAAGAAGAATTTTGGACAAGAGGAAAAATGAACGAGGAACAATATCGGTGTAGCATTTCCTAACCCTGTTTGGGGAACAAGACTATAGCAGTGTAATTAAATACAGTATGTGTTGTACGTTTAATAGTAAGTCAGCCTTTTTGCAAATGCTGTGAGTACTATCAAATATACTTTTAGTATGATTGTTTTGAAGATCACCATTTAATTCAAAAAAATAAAGCGACATGTATGAGTAGTAATTTAGCATTAAACCTTAGATTACACTCCATTACTTACATGTAAAATTTATTAAACTTTATTTCATTACCTCATCCATGATTTGTAAGTCCCATTGGATTGTTTTCCATCGGCAGTGGAGGTGAAGACGACAACTCCCATCATGCCACGCTCCGTCACAGCCTCACCTTATTGTTTTTAATGTGCGACCTCTTACAATGCTGCGCCTTTAAATAATGAAATTAGAAATTAAATTCCCTATTACATTAAATATGAACTTATTCTTATTATTCCAAGTATATGCCATTTTATTTACAGCTGACAACCATGTGACTGAGCAGTGGGTTCGTAGGATCACTGAACTGGCTCCTCAACTGTAGATAAATGACCATCTGAATCCATGAGTTTTATACGGAGCCCCCCCTAGTCCCACTTTGGCAAAAAAAATTAATTATAACTATCTCGTGGCCTCAAGATACTATTGCCACGAGTTAGTATCTTGAGGCAACGAGTTAGTATCTTGAGGCAACGAGTTAGTATCTTGAGGCAACGAGTTAGTATCTTGAGGCAACGAGTTAGTATCTTGAGGCAACGAGTTAGTATCTTGAGGCCACGAGTTAGTATCTTGAGGCCACGAGTTAGTATCTTGAGGCCACGAGTTAGTATCTTGAGGCCACGAGTTAGTATCTTGAGGCCACGAGTTGGTATCTTGAGGCCACGAGATGGTATCTTGAGGCCACGAGTTGGTATCTTGAGGCCACGAGTTGGTATCTTGAGGCCACGAGTTGGTATCTTGAGGCCACAAGTTAGTATCTTGAGGCCACGAGTTAGTATCTTGAGGCCACGAGTTAGTATCTTGAGGCCACGAGTTAGTATCTTGAGGCCACGAGTTAGTATCTTGAGGCCACGAGTTAGTATCTTGAGGCCACGAGTTAGTATCTTGAGGCCACGGGTTACTATCTTGAGGCCACGGGTTACTATCTTGAGGCCACGAGTTACTATCTTGAGGCCACGAGTTACTATCTTGAGGCCACGAGTTATTATCTTGAGGCCACGAGTTACTATCTTGAGGCCAAGAGTTACTATCTTGAGGCCACAAGTGATTATCTTGAGATAGTATCTTGAGGCCACGAGTTAGTATCTTGAGGCCACGAGTTAGTATCTTGAGGCCACGAGTTAGTATCTTTTTGGCCACGAGTTAGTATCTTGAGGCCACGAGTTAGTATCTTGAGGCCACGAGTTAGTATCTTGAGGCCACGAGTTACTATCTTGAGGCCACAAGTGATTATCTTGAGATAGTATCTTGAGGCCACGAGTTAGTATCTTGAGGCCACGAGTTAGTATCTTGAGGCCACGAGTTAGTATCTTGAGGCCACGAGTTAGTATCTTGAGCCCACGAGTTAGTATCTTGAGCCCACGAGTTAGTATCTTGAGGCCACGAGTTACTATCTTGAGGCCACGAGATAGTTATAATTTTTATTTTTCAAAGTGAGACTAGGGGGGCTCTGTAGTTTTATCACTGAGGTGCCATGCTCATTTTTACAGACGTCCACAAGAAATATTTTCCGTCTGAATAGGGCTGTAGTCACAATTTCAAAAGTCATATTTAGTCACAGGGAGAATGATATAAAGTTGCAATTATGCGAAACAATTACAGCTGCAAGATATACAGTATGTTTCGCAGTAAGAGTTGTTAATAGCAATGTGCGATATAAAGTCACAGATATTTGTTGTGCTCTGTGGCAGCTTCAGGCTTCCATTTGTATCCAGCAATGCTTCACAATTAAGAAAAGTTCAACTTTTTGCAAATGAGTGGAGCTCTCGTGATTCATCTTCTGTCAAACTTAATGTGTCCGTAAGCAGTTTCCCTGCTCTGTATGATTCGTCTCTGCCCACATGCAGAGATATAATAATAATAATAATAATAATAATAATAGATGCATGTGCATAGGCTTTTCCCTGCATTATGTACATTTCCAGAATAGATGAAGATCAACTAACATCTCATTTGTGATCAGATTTTCAAAAGCTATACCAGTAGTAGTTTACCAATATCCTTATAGCATCCAGTAGCAGAACAGCCAGTAAGATCAAGAACACGAGCAGAGAACCAGTGTGCTGTACAGGCGCTGCTGTTTTGTGCTCGTCTCTTTTTGAAGTTTGCAGGTATGTCTAATTGTTGGCTGTTGTTACTGAACATCTGAAAATGTATAAATGTGACATATGTACCCTATTAGTTTCACCAACCGCTGAATTGCTCACACAGGATTGTGGGATATCACAGGCAGGAAACATCTAAAGTGATACTAACACACATTATCTGATCACAGCTGTTGACAGCTGATAATTAGTCTAATTGCACAGTAGATTGATTGTGGAATTGAGGATTTTCACACACTGAGAGCTGCATTAATACGGCTAATTTTGTAATTGCAAAGTTCTGCTCAAGTCAACTGTTCTTCCAGCATTTAGAAGTGAGCACAATTAACCTAATAACACAAACACTTATTTCATTGAAAGCATTGACCGCTCCACTGATTTTTAAATGGACTTCAGTTTCTTTTGCATTGTATCATTGTTATTATTTTTTCTGCAAGAATCAAAAAGACATATTTAGTCTTAAAAAGGAGTGTGCAAAATAGACTAAAATAGCAACAAACAAACAAATACTTTCAGTTTGAGGAAATTAACATGACATATCTTGGTTACACTTTATAATAAGTATAGTAATAAAGTATTTACATACATTTTAGACTATTGCTTTATAGTCAATTCGGTAACACTTTACTTGAAGGGGTTTGCATAAGACTAACATGACAAATTTTATGCATGTTTGTGACAACTGTCATTAAGTGTCATTTGCTCAGTTATGACATTTTTAATGCAAATATGACATTGTTTGAGACGTCTTTTGTTATGACAACTTGACAAACCAAAACATCATAACCTTTCATAAACATGACACAGCAGATTAATTATCAAACTTGTCTAACATTACATTAAACTGTCTGGTGGTTGGTTTTGACATTGGCTGTCATGAAGCCATTTATAACTTTTTAATGGCAAATTCAATTAGTACCACTGTAGTTGAGGTCACGAAAAATATTCATGACACTGTTAAAATGGCCTCATGACAGCCAATGTCAAAGCCAACCACATGACAGTTTAACTTAATTTAATGTCAAGTTGTCGTGACAAAGACACTGACAGGTTATGATGTATTGGTTTATGTCAAGATGTCATAATAAAGACATCTCAATGGCATATTTGCATTCAAAATGTCATAGCTGAGTGAATGACACTTAATGACAGTTGTCATAAACATGCATAAACCCTACTTCATATTCAAGACGTATGTCATATCATGGTTATGAAGGTGTCATGTCAGTCTTATGCACACCCCTTCAAGTAAAGCGTTACCTATTGCATATAATGTACGCATGTATTTTCAGCATCATTACTCCAGTCTTCAGTGTCACATGATCCTTCAGAAATCATTCTAATATGCTGATTTTCTGCTCAAGAATCATTTCTTATTATTATCAATGTAAAAAAAAAAAAAAAACTGTTGCGTGGCACTGCTTTATAGTGTTTACGAAAACCATAATATACTATTTAAAAAAGAAAATAAATTAATACTTGTATTCAACAAGGATGCATTAAATTGTTTCAAGTGACAGTAAAGTAATATTACTGCATATTATATATTAATATTAAATATATATTGTTATTTTCATTTCAAAAGAACAGTATTTATTTGAACTTTCTATTAATCAAAGAATTAATCACCGTTTAACACAAAAGTGTTAAGCTGCACAACTGTTTTAACATTGATAATATAATAATAACCATTATTATTAAATGAGCACTATTAAAAGAGAACTCCGGCGGTCAGTACCTAGTCAATCATTCTCTGAGATTTGTTTTCATGATAATCGAATGTAAAGAGTTTTATCTCTAAAAACTGTTTAGCGAAGCATTGAGAACTGTGTACAGACCGTTTAATAAGAAGATACTTTATAAAGAGAGTTCTGAACTTCATACAGTTCAACCACAGAATGTCTAATATAAGAGAATTGGCACTGGCTGGTCACTTCCGGTTTCTGGACTGGCTGCAGTAACCGTCTCTGTCCATGCGGGGGCGCTCGCGGTCGAGTGCAGAATGAATGGGAGTCAATGGGGTTTCACCCCCAGAAATCTACTTTTCTCAGGATGTAATTTTTTATCAAGTAATTTGAAAGTTGCATTCATAAGGGAGGGCTAAGATAATACACTCAGCTGAAAATTGCATTTTAAATTCACTTATCTGTTCTAAAAATCCGTTCAAAAATGTGATGACGTCACACAATAGCAGAATGCTAGCGTGTTCCGGCCAACAACGGCCTAACCTGTAAGAAATCAAAACCACAGAAGTACTCGTTCATTCGACTTTAGGCCTATAATCTATTTTGAACTTGCGCAATCAACAATAAAATCTATGTTGATTAAATGACAGGAGAAAGAGACACATTTAGCCGTTTAGCTCCATAGACTCCCATTCATTCTGCACTCGCCCGCGATCACCTCCAGTGGAATTCTAATGGAACTGCAACCAGGATGATACACAATAGGAAGTGCCAAGGCTCTCCGCTAGACAGGCTCTGGTTCTGCCAAGGGGGTAATCCATTAGCCGGAAGCTGAAGATGCCTCCGGGGGCCGCCATTGTAGCCTACTATCACCTGCTGTTAGCATCCCATTGACTCCCATTCATTTTGGCGTCACTTTGACAGCGAATAACTTTACATCTGAGGCGTGCAAAGACTCAATTTATCCATTATTTATTTCTAAAGAAACACGACAATGCATAAAAGGCTCCATTACTTTGTATGTTACGTTATGGCCACGTAGAAGCCGTTCTTGTAAAAATAGGCTAAAAATTGCGTCATAACCACTCGACTGTCCGTCGCACAGTAGAGAATTACCGTATAGACAGGAAGAGAAGCTCGCACAGCCTCGCAGGCAATCGTTTACTGTCTAAAGTCAGCCCATGGCATAAATAGAAGCAAAATGACAAAATAACTAATCAGAATACTTACCAAAAGTTGCTCCAGGTCGCGCTTCGCAGTCTCTGTGCACGATTAAAATTTCTCTTGGCACAGCTACTGTAAGTCAGTCAGTTTGCTCACGTGACATCTACGTCGTCAAGCTCAGTTTGAGCCTGCGCAGAACGCTTGGCTATCAGGAAGTGAGTGCCCATGTTGAGCTTCAGCTCTCTCCGTTGAAATCAACGGGGTCGCTGTGTCCATTTCTTTTACTGTCTATGGGTTCTGCTCACTCAGCACGTCGTTCGTGGTTTGACTTGTCATGACTGTTTTCTAAGATGGCTCCTGTCTGTATACACGAAGTGGACTGTCTTTATAAAGTATCTTCTTATTAAACGGTCTGTACACTTACAAAGTTCTCAATGCTTCGTTTTGCATGTAAGGACCCTTATTATGTTACTGTGTTAGTGTGGGGCTATTTGTTAGTGGTACAAACTAGCGATTTCTTTTTATGTAGTAAATGCCCCCATTACTAGCACTATACGCTAAACAGTTTTTAGAGATAACTCTTTACATTCGATTATCATTAAAACAAATCTCAGAGAACGGTCGACTAGGTACCGATGTTTTATTAGACCAAAGGTTCATTTTGCGCCAGAGTTCTCCTTTTAAGAATTCATAATACCAGTTATTGAGCATTAAATCAGCATATAAGAATGATTTCTGAAAGATCATGTGACGCTGAAGACTGGCCTTAGGCTTGCCATCACGGAAATATATTTGACATATAAATGTATATAATCTATTTTATATGTAAATATCCCATGTCGTTAGCACTTCAAATGTATTAACCTTTTTAAACATAAGCCATAAGAAACTCTTGTTAATGATTTGTCATTTTACTTTTCCACTGTTTAACCACTGTACTGTAATGCTAAAATCCTATTTTTTAGATGTTTGTAAAATCGAATGTAATCTCTTTTCTCAGGTCAAAGAAGAACTGTGTAAGAAAGCCGAGCGCAGGACTACGTGGGTGCTGTGGGGTGGGATGGCTTACATGGCCACACAGTTTGGCATTCTTGCACGGCTGACCTGGTGGGAGTACTCATGGGACATCATGGAGCCCGTCACGTATTTTATCACCTACGGCACTGCCATGGCCATGTATGCTTACTTCGTGCTGACACGTCAGGTGAGCAGCTCCAGCTCTTTATTTCTAGATCAGTGGAATTTCATAAGGTCCCTGTGAATTCGAAGGTGCCGAAGCGGCTGGAGATCCGTCTGACCTCTCTGTCGTCGTTCTCTCACACAGGAATATATTTACCCAGATGCCAGGGACAGACAGTACCTGCTGTTCTTTCATAAGGGAGCGAAGAGAACACGCTTTGACATTGAGAAGTACAACAAACTGAAGGATGCGATTGCTGATGTAAGCTAGTGCACAAACAAACATCACTCTTTTCAGTCTCTTAAAATGATGTATGTACTCATTAGACACGGTGATTTGGTAATGTGGTTTGTCACAGTAATTAATATTTGGTGTGGTGGACATTTAATAATACTGTGAATCAATAAGGGGATAATGTACATCCAGCTGGTTGTTATCACACAATAAACCCCAAACAAACATTAGGTCTTTAAAGGTCTTTAGTTCACTTTAAAAAAAAACTTTTTGATGATAATTTACTCACCTCCATGTCATCCAAGATGTCCATGTCATTCTTTCTTCAGTCGAAATGAAATTAAAGTTTTTGATAAAAACATTCCAGGATTTTTCTCCATATAACCAAATGGTTCAAGGTCCAAATGAGAGTTTCAGTGCAGCTTCGAAGTGTTCAAAGGGCTTTAAACGACACCAGACAATGAATAAGGAGCTTATCTAGCGAAACGATCTGTCATTTAAAACATAAATAACAAAGTTTAAGTTTTATAAGCACAAATGCTCGCCTTGCTCTGTTCTGTGATAATCGTTCGTGACTCCCTTGTTCGAACTCGTCCATCAAAATGAACAAATATTTTTTCGAGTCATTTGGTTCATTCAACGAACGAAATGATTCGAAAAAAAATACGTTCACTTTGATTAATGAGTTTTATTTTTACGAATTTATTTTTGAAATGAGCGTTTCGCTAGATAAGACCCTTATTCATTGTCTGGTATCGTTTAAAGCCCTTTAAAGCTGCACTGAAATTTTTTAATTTCTTTTCGACTGAAGAAAGAAAGACATGGACATCTTGGATGACATGGGGGTGAGAAAATTATCAGCATTTTTTTTTTATTTTTTATTTTTTTATAAAGTGGACTACTCCTTTCCATGCAAGAAAACAGTTGCTAGCAAGCGGCAAGTTCAAACTATTCAGACATTTAAGGGATACGGTACAGTCATACCACTATAATGAATGGTGACTGTAGAAAGCAAAAGCCGAATCCAACATTTTGGGCGATCATTAATTTTTTTATAGGTCCAAAAAGAGGACGTATGGTCATCCTAGACAGTAGTCCTTTACCCCCTGAACATAGCACACACTGAACCGAACTGAAACAGTGAATGTAAAACAATAATACACACCAAACTGTGAGTAATTTGAACACTTACACCCATAACTAATAATAAGAATCATTATTAATAATTGGGCATCAAATTGGAATTTTAGAATGAATTCCTGAAGAAACATGTAACAATGCATAGTCTTCACTGTATAAATTAAACTTAGATTAATCCTTATTAAAGGATTACTTACTCAAAGGCAGTGAGTTTTTTCTGAGTGTAGATGGCAGCAGGTATATATATTAGTCTGCTGTCACTTTAAGAGCTAATGTGCAGATCCAATAAACTGATACACATTTGCAGACATGCACTTTCTCAACTGTTCATGTTCACTTAAGGCATAACTGACTAAGTTTATGGGGATACTCATAAATACAGGAATTTTTAAGCGCAACAAGACATAAAAGAGAGTTAAATTCAGTATTCGCAATTACTGGGCGCACACTTTGGATGTTTGCGAACAGGAAACTTCCTTCACAGGGAGTAACGAATTCGTCTTCTTGCGCTTGAATATTGCTTAACTTTCACGACGATGCTGCATTGGCCTGTCAACTGTCCCGAGCTTCATGTTCTCACAAAATGACATTGCTAGAATTCATAAAGATGGCGAACTGGCGAATGACATGAGCCAAAATTCCACCAAAATTAAATTGACCAAAAATTCCACCGAACAATTTTTCCGAAGAACTTTTTTCCCCCAGACCTGTTGCTTTTTGCATTTCGACAAGGGCTTGGTATTGACACAAATTTCACAATTCGATTCGATTTCGATTCACAAGATTGGAATTAGATTCGATTCCGATTCGATTCAATATTGATTATTTTGGATATCAGTTACAATAAATGGCAAATTTTCTCAAGGAAATCAAATCTCTTAACTAATGCTGTAAACTATGGGAGTCTAGTTGTAGCCTAATAGGCTTCATTAGCCTAATATGAAGGTAATAATTAACTCTTTTGTAGCTATACAAACACTTAAATTACTCTTTTATTTATTTTTATAATAAGAAGATTATATGAAATATAAACATTTAAATGTTGGCTGTCATAAAAACTTGCCAGATTTATTCAAATATGCATTAAATATTGAAGAACATTAAGATTATAATACAGTACGTAATAAGGTGTATATATTTAGCAAAATGCTCCTCTCTAGAGTTATTTTTTCTAGCTGACTAACGAGTTTATGTGGGTTTTCTGAGGTAAATATGACGATAAATGACATTGATAAGCTGTTTAACTGACGTCTTTCCACGGTTGAAACGCTGATTGAGCGAATCAATGTGACATGATACGGATTTCAATAAGCTGTACTCCATCTTTTAACACACTTTCAGATGCTCATTCATGTTTATTTCGCGCTGTGACTGGTATTATTAACCCGGAAGAGAGATCAGCACTGCTGCTTCTCGTGAGCTGAGCCAGAGCGATCTCACGCCACAGCGCTAAAACGTTATTTGTTTTTGAATTTCTAAAGAAAATGGACATAATTTGAAATTTGAGACTTTGTTTCATATCAATAGTAACAAAGGACAAAGATTATTGCGATTTTTTAAATTTTTTTTTTTGGATGCGCACAGCCGCAATACAATGTTCCATTTATTCAAATGAAACAGGATGACTAATCGATTCTTGAGATTTTAAGAATCGATATCGGTTCTTAAAAATGAGAATCGATTAATATCGAGAAATCGATATTTATTACCCAGCCCTAATTTCGACTGTTTTTTTTAAGTATCGTGAAGATTAGGCAAATTACTCAACATTACTTTGAAAATTCAATTGAAATTCAATTTTCTATCAACCAATCAAAATGCAGCATGAACTCAATCTATCAGAGTGTTTAGTGCCAAAGTCCCAGCCCTGAAAGTTCCTAAACTTTGAAAAAGTACTACCTCGCAAGCAGGGACTTTCTGAGGGACGATTTTGACCCGGAACTTCAATTAGGCCCTGGTCGCACCGGAGGAACCTTTTTTATAGTTCCTAGAACCCGGATTTGGAGTTTGGCGAGTGTTCATTTGAAACTGTATAGGACTTTATGGGGTTACATGGATTACTTTTAAGATTGTTATGGTGCTTGTTGTCATTTTTGAAGCTCTTATTTTTAAAGCCGTTGATTACTGTCTGTTTTGTTGTACGGAACAGAGCAGTGTGAACATTTTCTCCAACATCTTTTCCTCAGGCGGAGTCGGATCTAAAGCGTCTACGAGACCCGCTGCAGTTGCACCTCCCTGTCCAGGAAATCAATACCAGCAAGGACTGATGAGAAAGTGAAGCCCTTTTTGCCTCTCGCTCTTATTTCACTCACATCTGCCTCTTTGCGTTTCGTTTTCTGTCTGTCTTTTTGTGTTTTGTTCTTATCTCTACAACCTCAATGAAAAACCATATCCACAGCAAGCTTCGGAGATTTATTATTATCCTATTTGTTGTTTTCTTTAATTTGGCAAGTCTATGCAGAGGAGAAGAGATACAATTAAATGAAATGTTAATTCTACATCCATGAACGGATGACAGATGCTTGCGGATCAGGCGCCCTCGTAACGCTACAGGACCACACAGCTACTTCAGACAGGAAGTTGGTAGACTGGGATTCAAACAGTACATCGCTATGAGACAATGACCCCACGTCTTGCATGGGACACAGACTCTGAGGTCTAAAAACCATCTGCCCTCTGGCTTTTTCCCACATTGGCGTACTGCTGATTTCCCTAACTCTGACACTTTGCGGAAGAGATTTCGGGATGTGGTGCTCTTTTCCATCTCGGGAAAAGATCCGTTTACCATCGAAACCAGTCCTCTTGTGGCCGAAACGCTGCATTGACACCTGTGCCCAAGAGCCCTAAGCTTGATTCCTTTTCTCACTTCCTGTACGGACATGTTAAGAGCTGAAGGCAGACCTAACAGCTAAAATATCACTGTGTGTTCTATTATTCCAAAAAGAAAAAAAAAGAATCAAAGAAATGTTGGCACTTTTTTTAAAAGCCATATTATGTTTATTATAATGATGGAAAAAAAAAAGAAAGAAATGAGTAGAAACCTTTTCTTTTACTCATTATTTGATGATTTTATTTTTATTTTAGCCATCCCACCAGACATTACACACCTGCAGATGCTCCGATACTTTATTTTCCGAGATTCCCATCATCAAGCGACAGTCAAATAGTTCATCCCTAAACCTCTGAGCTTTTTTCCTTCAGAAATATGATCTCCATCGGTTTTACATTGCGATGGGAAACGCACATGCACATGCTCGCTTGGCAGGTGGATCCTTTTTTTTCCAAAAGGTCGCCTCTTTTCTCTTTGGAACATCATCAAATGGCATTTTCCCACAGTGCCTCACAGCATCTGCTGCAGCGTGCTTGTTACTAAACAGCTGTTTATCAGACGCATTACTCATCGAACGGTCTTAAGGCAGGTCACTGTGTAAAATGCGATTTCTTTTTCTTGAAAAAAGGTTCTGGACGCAATCAATTTCCCATCAGTCATGTGGCGTTTTTAGCTGCATATATCTGCCTCGATATGCCAAGTCTTCTGGAACGTGCAGAGATTGTGTAATATTTTAGATCTAGAATTAGCGTGTGTTTTGCACACTTCGTGGCATGCTATAGAGAGAGATCGTCGCATCCTTTGTCTATGTGTGCTATCTGTAGCCGACAGGCCTTAGCAATGATTCTGGCTGGGTTGAGCTGATCATCAACGTCATTTATATATTATATTACAAAGTATAAAACAAAAGTGTTTCGACCCAGACTGTTTGAATATAAGGGATGTGAAATCAACTTGATCCTTGATTGCTCATATCACATTTTTTAGGCCATTATCCTGACCCATAATCTTGTTGTCTCTTAAGGGACAACACACTCAGACCCCATCGGAGAAATAGCTCTGTGAGTCTATAGCAGAAGTCCATCCATTATGTCAAACTGTCCATGTTTGTGCTTATGGTCATCATCAAGCGTTTTTGAAGCCATGTTTGTGTACTGTTCGTGTCTATAGAGGCGGATAGGGCATAAGAGTTTCAAATCCCCTTAGAAGCAGCATGTCTTCATTCTTACTGTTTGTTCAAATATTACAGACTACAGAAACTACACAAATTGTCTTTGAAAAATAAAAAAAAAACTATTATACACTATATACAGCGCTGCAGTGATGAAGTACACCTTCGTAAACTCGACAAAACCTTTCTTCTCAGCGTGACAAACCTCAACATTGTTTGAGATGTTGGGTTAGGGTTAGTTCACCAAAAAAAACCTAACAATTTTACTTCCAACTACCAATCGCAACTACCATTTTGATGCTTAATAAGTCCGCAAAGTGATTGTAAAACGAATCGACATAGGAATAAGGTGGTTTAGTTTGAAGAGGCCCAATCAGTTTATGTGATGAACAGATTTTATTCCCATATAAACATTGATCAGCAAACATAAACAGAAGCTCAATTGTACTTTCTTGAAAACGAGAACAAACCTCATTGGCTCTTGCCGAAGCTCAAACGTGCTGCGTAACACGAGAAAGAACCTCATTGGTTCTCGCATGTCCATCAAACATGTTTGAGCTTCTGTTTACCATATCTAATATGTGGGTTGATGAATGTACATATGTGAAAAAGAGACTAAATTTAATCCGTTCATCATGTAAACTGTTCGTGTTTCTTCAAGAATTGGAGAAAACCAATCAATTAGTTTGGGTTTTTCCAAGAAGAACTTGCAACTTGAGCCTTATATATAAATGATGCCAGAGTTATCACTTTTGGGTGAACTAGCTCTTTAAACTCTATCAGCAATTCCCCTTATGTCATATAATAAAACGTAAAAATGTTATGAGCTTGTGTTCCCCACAGACTTTATTCCAGGCTTTTAACCAAAACCCCATTCAAAAAACCCATTGACTTTAGGACAGTGGAACTGGAAGTGCTAAAATGCTAACTCGCTTCTGGGATTTGACCCACAAAATACGTCACCCCTGCAGCACTCAACTCCAAGTACAGTACAACAACTCTGAGGAACAGCATGAAATCTTTTCCCTTCCAACAAAACTCTGAAATGTCAGTCGTGTTTTGATTCAAACACTGATGTTAGTTGACCCAAAAATGAAACTTTTTAAGCCCTAATGTCATTCCAAACCCATTCATATTCAAAACACAAAATGATTGTTAATATTTTCTCAGCATTTTCGTCCATTCATTGAAAGTTCATGCAACCAAAACCAAAAATCTATAAGAATCAAGGTTCAATCCAAGTCTTCTGATGAGACACTATTGTGTGACATGGTGAACTGATTTCATTTAACCTTTTATTAACATAAATACAGCACACATACATGGGACTTGAATTAAACCACTTGATTCACAGTGATTACCATCTTTTTTGTTCTTTTTGAGGCAGCAAAGTTGTGTGGACTTGATAAAAATACTGTCCTCGTTTGTTGTTTCAAAGATTCGGACGTTTTGAACGACGTCAGAAGTTCATTTTTGGGTGTTCAACATTTTAAATTTAAGTCCGTTCCTCACTCAAAGCTGTTGTAGACTTCAGGAGACCTGGAATATAGCGTTTGATTCATGAACTACTTTCGTAACGTTCTTTTTGGAGCTTGACAGACATGATCACCATGAACTGTGGTTTAATGGAAAAGAGCTGCATCAACTGTGACAATTCTTCAAAATTTCTCTATTTTGTATTACAAATAATAACAACAACAACAGCCTATAGCTTTAAATATGACATTTTTCCATAATTTCCATTTTACTATTTCTTTAAACAGACATTTTTGGGAGGGAAAGAACGATCCCGTTATAATGAACCAAACTGTGGTTTGCCGGTTTTGCACATCTGGCTAAAAGTGCAAGTGTCTGGTGAGGAGTTCTGGGAGTTCTGGTCTATGGGATTTACCCAGCATGCTTGACTGGATTACGCTGTTATTTAACACAGCAAGACCTGAACTCTAGGTTATTTTAAGGATGACACAGCCTTATAACCGCATTATTTGCAACCCAGCTGGTTTCAACGGAGCTGCTTCTCTCTTTTACCCGAGTTTTGTGTGTTTTAACAGGGTTTATCAGATTGCACATCCTATAATAAACTGAAGTTCAAACTCCAGTTTCCATCAGTCTAGTTGTAGCTAATGAGTAGGGGATACTTGCACATCTACCATTAGTCCTGGAAGAACTTTGTGGCGTATTGCTGACCCTCAGCATTAATCGCCCTATAGGAAACTATCGACTAATTATATGAATCCTAAACCTTAAAATCTGACTGGATGAATGTGATGTCTGTCATTCCAGGAACAAGATGATGGAAGTCAGAATTAAGGTCACAGGTCACTTATTTGTGCATAATCTCCATCCATAGCAGTCCAAATAATTAAATCCATCATAAGCCAAAAATACATCCATTCTGCCTCACCTATGTGATTAAACAGTCACGAATTCAACCCGATACACACTCTGAACTGTTATTATAGGGCAAAAACACATCTCCTGCTCAAAAAAGCCCAGTACACTGACATCCCTTGACCGTCTAAGAGGTCTTGGACCTGGTCTTTATCTAATACCTTCATTTTTATTTTTTATTATTATTATTTTTATTTGTAGGGTTTCTTTTTGTTTCAGGGTTTTTAAAAAAAAATATATATATACAATATATGGAATCTATTCTAAAGCGGGTGTTGCATGAATGTATGTTTACATGGGGAAATTATATATAAATGAATCAAAAAAGCAAAGATTATTATGAATGCTGATTGCCGATTAACAGACTCCTGGTTCATCAAGAGTTTGGTTTTCCATTCTAGTCCCTGGCCCTCTGTGACCTCATCATCACAGGCTCTGATTGGTCAAGGTTCTCTCCTACATTGTCTTGTTTTAGCCTGTCTCTGCTCTCTCTCTCTCTCTCAGTCTCGATGCTGCTGCTCGACCGCTGCAGTGCTGCCTTTATTCTAAACACTGACCTGAGAACAGAGAGTATGAAAGACTTGAGCGCATTATATAGTCTCCTTTTCTAACACCCCTTGCTCCGCCCATTTGCCCCTCTTTCTTTAGCTCCTCATTATACTCTCACACTGATTATGGTTTAGATACATGTATTATTTTCAAGTTTTCTTCATGTGCACTTAAAATGATAATTATATTTCGGGGGAAAGGGAAATGGGTGACTTAGAATGAAAAACGTTTTTCTCATATTCTTTATTTGTTGGTTTTGTCATTGGCATCGGATGCTGTAATGTTAGAAGACTTTAAAAATGACAATGTAAAATCCTGTATCATTTATGAAATGTGTATAAAAGAGAAATGTAATTCAACTATCAATAAATACTTATCCAGTTTTGAATCCGGTATTGATTGATTGATTGATTTTAAATAACAAGCTATAGTATGGTAGCCTGACTTCGTCATACTCATATTCTAGAGAGAATATGAGTCTGAAACCGCTCCGTAGGGCTTTGATTATGAGGCGCGTCTTAACCGAACCAGGAAAAAAACCCTCTGCACTCAATTGGATAGTCGGTAGACCTACAACCAATCAGAGCAACGCAGTAAGTCAACTCCTTTGCATAGCGCAGTTTTCAACTACAGAACTTACTTATTTTAGATTAGAAGTTAAATAATGAGTGTTGCTTCTTTTATTTACTTCTCCATGAGTGCGACCAAAGGAGAAACCACAACGACCACAGGCTTTTCATTACGTCCCATCTTCTTAGCGACCGTCAGAGCCAGCTGATAAGTTACACTTTTCCCGAATCATGTAGGAAGGACGCCAAAAATATCTTTCCGATCGACAAATGCCTTGATTGCAGTTCTCTGTTTGTCTATTAAAATTACTGTGCATCAGTTCAGTTAAGCGCTCTTTGATAACGTGATGATTACATCCTTGCAGATCACCTGTCCATCATCATATAAAGCCCGCCCTGGCAATTTGATTGGCCCGAACGTTTCTTGTCTGTTCATAATTACTCCTCAATGGATCGAGTCCAGATCGAACTTCCC